TTTTTGTATACATGTATCTAAGAATCATATTAGCCCTTTACCCATTTATTCCAGGGACTCGAAGAATATTTGAAGCAAAATAAGCTATAAACACGCCTTTAAAATTCAAGTTATTCGCAATATCAGTATCATATTAGCCTTGAGCCTATTTACCCCAGGGACTTGAAGCATGTTTTAATGAAATTAAGCGGATATAACCCGCATTTTGCTAGTTTGTTCTTTGACAAATTATTGTGGTATTTTGAAGGACATTTTAAAATTAAGGCATGTCATTTAGTTTCCCGACCGACAACTAGACCATTAGAGGTTTCTCTTGACGCATGCTCAATAATTACAATACGCCCTTCTAAAATTGCCATGTGTTTCGTAAAATTTTGATTTGGAGGTCTGTCGTCACTTCCGCTCAGGTTATCATTTCGTTACCATCTCATTATAACTAAAAGTAGGACGCAAAACTCCTTTTTGTTTCATTGTAATTTGAATTTGTGCTTGTCAGACCCGTAATTACAACCTTGAGCTATCTTATTTGAATACTCCCCCTATTTCCCTACTTACGCGATCCATGACCACGCCCCGCCCCCCTCCCTCTCTACCGCCAGAAAGGTAGGACGTAAAACTCCATTCATTTCATTTTATTTCCCCTCTGCTGCTCAATCAAATCTGGTTACGGGCCCGGTGCTTATGATATACTTAACCGCATAGCTTGATATTGCCCCGGAGTTATAAACCAAACCGTGGTTTAAATAAAAATTGAATAAAACCTATATTGAATTTGCCCTTGAATAATGTTCCATATGTTTCTTCACGCTCTTTGATTTCAAAAGCATTTTGAATTTAAATTTATTAATGATATTATTTAAATCAGTTGTGTTCATGTAACCGTGATTTCAGCCTCCATTTTGAATTCGGAATTTTCACATTGGACGCGTGTAATATGCTTTTTGAATGGGATCACCAATTTCTTTTCGAGGTAAGTAGACGGTATTGGGAGCCAAATACGACAGAATCATGAAAGCTTGGCCACGGATGCACGAGATCAGCGTCTTTTAATTTTGGCGTAGGCTTCTGCCGTTATCCCGGCAAAATTTCCCTCGTTGCACACTACGTAGCGTTATCCTTCATTAACCGAATTAAAGGAAGAAAATGAAATGTAAAACTCCAATCGAACCCAAGACATCTCTTAACCCAGAAGGCGATAATTGTCTGTGATAAAATGATATATCAAGTAAAGGCCGGGGTTCCACATGCGCTCCGTTTCCGTTTGCATATCATTGCTACTTTCCGTTACTGTTACGATTTGCGTTACATTCATTTGAATTTAAAAGATATGTTTCCTTTCTTCCGATTCATTTTCTTTTAACCTTTCGAGCTTTGATGTCAACGTACCTTTTCCATGTAAAATTTGAGAAAAATCTCCGAAAACTTGTATTTCTTGACGGAAATTTTGATAAAATAATGGATACTTTCTACCAAATCGATAAAAAAAAAACCCAGAAAAACACTTACAAACGCATGAATCAATGTTTGCATAACGACATGCGGCCATCTTTCTTGAATGACGTAAACTATATTTTACAATTCGGTGTGATATCGAAAATTGTTATGGCAAACGTCGTTTAGTGTATTTAATTTCCAATATTTGTCATTCAGGGCCTCTTTCGTTTTCTCCATGGTTGCGTTCGAGGACAAATTAATGATCATTAAATTTCAGAGCTGTCAATCTGTAATTACCGCCCTTGTTAGAAAACAGACGAGAAGTTATGTCTTCGTTATCCAGACGGAAGTTTGGCCATTGTGCCAATCATTCGGCAGTCCTCAACAGACCGACAAAGGTGTGTGCCAATTTGCGATGACCGCCCTTACAGATGAGAATCTTACCCCGATTTTCCAGACGGAACTATGACCAGTGAGCCAATCTGTAATTACCGCCCTTGTACAAAAACAGACGAAAAATAGTACCTCGATTTTCCAGTCGGATTTATGGGATTGAGTCACTGACTACCCACTCCTGAACGCAGACGGAAACTATACTATGATTATCCAGGCGGAAGTCTCACAACTAGAGCTCATTTCCTTCGGACCTGCTGAAACAAAATGTTTGAACTCGTTTCAAGTTTCTTACATGACATTTGAGTCATTAAATTCGTATGAGAAAAAAGAAACAACTTCTTGGTGACAGGCGGCCATATCTCGTATTGTGAATTGCAAATGGCGGAAAGAACGTGCAGAGCAGACGTTAAAAAAGGAATGGCGTCACGGTCATTAGTCGTTTGGTGAGATTTACGAAGCAAGAATCCCACGAAATAAATCGCTTTTATGATCAGAGCATCAGGGTGTCGTATTGTTCAGAAGTCGTGGGGTTTGGGAAATGTGAAGCATCAAATTTGGCCATATTTTCGGTACGTGCTGCACCTTGTCTTGAAATCTGATTCAATCCGTTGTATTTGAGTTGGACCACATTTCAGTGTGTTGAACTATTGTAAATAAAATCAACTAACGATCCCTAGGGGCATACAACTCCTGTGAAAACTACTCGAACATGATCCTCTCTAATATTATGTAGCAACTTCGGTATTTTAAAGACCTGGCGTTTTTGTTGATGGCTATGGACTCAACTATTGCCCCCCTCCCCTATCCCGAACCCCCAAAACAGAGCTTGAAATTTATATAGAATATGCCTTGCGTCTTACGATCTCTAATCCCATAAAAATAAATCATATTTGAGTCCATTTCTTTTCAAAAATAAATTCGTGTTTCACTGAAAAATATATTTATAACAATTCTTCTAAATATCATTAAAAAAGTTTTCAATTTATGCAAATTGCACGTATATCAATCCAACACATAGCTAATTTTTGAAAATAATTTTGTGTCATATCCCAGCCCAGGACGACTACAAAATAATCAATATTTGAGTATAAAAGTAGGACGAAAAACTCCAATTTGTACATGAAAATAAAACTTCATTAAAACACATAGCGCATTCTTATAAAACTCTCCTTTTCAAAAAATATACTCCGTGTTTACAACACAGTCCCACAAAGTAGGACGTAAAACTCCATTCCATTTCAATCCTTTACATTATTTACATTTACAATTTGTAAATGAGAATTTAGCAAAATACTGTCAAAAAAAGAAATAAATAAATAAAAATAGTGACAATACAAAACGTAAACAAGTCCCGAAAAATAGGACGTAAAACTCCATTCCATTTCAATTCTACGGAAGCTCAAATACGACATCTTTTTTTAAATGTTCTCATTTCTTTACTTTATTTAGATTTTCAATTTGTAAATGAGAGTTTAGCTAAAGAGCGTGAAAATAATTGAAGGAGTAATGATTAAGAATTAGAGGGGTTAAGAGCCCAACGAACACCTCGATCAAACGATTAAGTGTTTAACTTGTGAAGGGGTTAATATTAACCCCTAGGGCCCGACTAGTAAATTTCTTAAGAAGAAAATAAAGGGAGAACTTGAACCACTCGAGAATTTTGAATGACAAAACAAAATCAAGGTGTTTTGAGCTGACATTGATCCGAGTGACTTCAAGATTTTTTTAAAAAATACGTTGAAAATGTTAGTGATATGGGTTAAAATCTGATACCGGGTCTACTCTGGGAAGCACTGGGCGAGGTATAAAAAATTCTTATCTTGAGGAAGATTCGAATCCACAGCACATAATCGCATGACAGACAACAATCCAACTCGCTACCGACTGAACTATATCTTGCTTATATATATAAAAAAGCAAGACTCATAATATCTGTAGAATTTTGCATTTCCAAATGAAACGTTAAACCCGTATGTGGACTCCACAAAATGTAAGAAAGAGTTGTGGAATCCAAATTCGTCTGAGATTATTTTTCAATTTTTCGTTTCAATTGTTTTTTAAAACTACTGTATATAAAAAAACTAAATTAATTATGTTAAAAATTCACCATTACACACTGCATGGCATTGTCAGTTAGATTCAACATATTTTCTTATTGACCAAACTCTTCCTGAATTTCGGATCCAAAATCCTGCTCAAGACAGCTAGGGTTTGAAAATGGAGGTTAACTTTCCATTATTGGATTACAGTCGTATGGAAAGTAAACGAAATCATTGAGCGAGAGTTTTCTGTCATGATACGAACATTTTTATAAATATATAGAAAGGGATAATACACAATTTAAACTCTTATTCAGGTGTTTCTATGGGGTTATTTGTTTATGTAATTCACGGCGCAGACTGAAAAAGAATTCTGATACATAAAAGGGCACGTTATAGTTTTGACCAACGACTGGAATTCGCTGCAGCGCCCTTGAAAATGAGGGCTTTGTATAGGGGCAATGATATTGTTTGCCTTTGTCGAGTACCTTTAAATATATGTTTACATTCCTTTTAATCTGTAGCCTATTGTCAGGTGCTGAGATTCTTTTCATTATGATTGACAGGTTTGATTGACGTGGGGTGTTCATTACAGGCCTATTAAGATCGCCACGGACCAATAAGAACGCTTAACACGAGGTGTGAGGAATCCTACCGCGCGCTCATTACCACTGGAACTTTCAATAGCGACATATGAAAAGACGTTTCGTCACATTATGCCCCGCCTACTTCGTCGTCGTAGTCGATTGAAACAGATGAAAATAACATTCGTTTATGGTTCCTAAACATTTGTATTCAAAACTATCTCTTCTCTCGTGTGCTCGGAGATTCTTAGAAAACAAAAAATAGCTTATCTATATCGGTGACATTTTCTGAATTCTTGGATTTTTGAGTGACATAGACTCTGGTGAAGTTGGAATCGGGAAGCGAAGTTACTTCGTTGTAGAAATCTTCGAAAAGTACGTTGGAATAAGAACTATAAGCGACTTCAAAATACGTGTCAATATTTCGAAAGTGTGTTACAAATTTTAACGGAATATTGGACCTGTCACAAAAGGGTTAAAATCAGTTGTGTTTAAGGGGTTAACGATTCCAATACCCTTCATAGGGTTTAGTGACGACTTTCTTAGAATGGTAGAAAAACCAATGATGCCTCTGTCTTCAGAATCAGGCATGCAAGGACAGGGAACTTGTTCGGATATTATTCCTTTGGATTGCTATGCACGGGTACGTATCTTTTGTGGAAATCTAAGGCCACGGCCTGTCCTTTCGAGAGCTGTCAAGAAATATTTCTTATGAACGTTTTCGGAAAATATGTCACTATTTTCTGTTAAAATTGTTTTTGATTGGTGACATAGTTTTGTTTTTTTTTCATTTTCAAAAAAACACCATGATTTAAAAAAATGTCAAATTGTAGGTAATTGAATAATGAGTCTATTAGGAGAAATTTTAATTCCTCTTCCAATGCTGCCGAGAGTTGTCAAGACCCGTGTCCTTATTAAAGAACCATAATGTCTTGTATATAATGTATTACAAGAAGTGGTAAAATATATTCTAAAAAAATTTGATTCAAAATTGACATCAATATTGTAAATTGTTACTCTAACTTTTAGAAACTCGGTTTTTGCTTTCGAGGACTGCAAAGCCCATAACCTTAAGAAAGTATTAAACCCTTCTAGAAATTTTCGCCAATTTGTAACTAAATTTCATTTAATTTTGTGTAATTTATCTCCAACGGATAAAATAAGATTCTGGTAATTCATGTAGCCTATACTCATGGATATTAGAAATAACAAGAGTTGCTTTCAGTGCCACGGTCTATGCTTTCGAAAGCTATCATTACTTAAAATTATTTAGGAATGTGTCTATTTTGTTACCAAAATTCATTTAATTCGGTATCATATTTCTTAAATTGACTTATTCATTTACAAAATAAACGAATAAAACGTTTTCACTTTGGACTTGAAATTGGTATTTTGCTATATCTAAGCTGTTTATTTGAAATTATGTGGACAATTCATTCTTGTAGCCGAATTCATTGAATTCTACAGACAAATACAACAATTTGAATTGTATTTATGAAAATTGTATTCAAGATATTCTTGTCAAAGATTTAAGAAATATAGGGTTTGTTTTTTAAGGATTGTTATATTATTACAAGCTTATAGTTTGTTTTGTTAAATAACGAAATAAAAAATAACTGAACAGGATTTCTGTAATGAAATGATGACAAATTAACTGAGATGACAAGTTGGTGAACACAATGTTACTATAGTGTTTAAAACTATGCCCTAATATACATTCTGTTCAATGTTCATAAGAAAATTTGATACTATGTTCATAAAAAATTTAAAGATGTGTTCATAAATAACTTTTAAATATGTTCATTATCAATAAAAAAACATGTTCAGGAGAAAGTGAAAATATTCTCATAACAAAATTAAAGTCAGGTTTATGAAAAAATATAAAGAAAATCTTCTGAAGAAATTTTACAAAATATGTTCATAAGAAAATAGTCAAAATATACTCTAATGTTCTCAAAATATTAAAACAGGCTTCAATTCTAAAAATATTTAAACTTGCTCTAATGTTCTCTGAATTAAAACATGCTTTTAAGATTTTAAAACATGCTCCAATGTTCTCACGAATATTAAAATATGCTCTTATGTAAAAGATGTTCAATTTTTTTCAAAATATTAAAACATGTTCTTATATTTATAAGAAATTATATCAAAATATAATAAAGCCGTGTTCTCAAAATATCAAAACATGCTGCATATCAATAATGAAATATATAATGTTCCCATGTTCTCATAAACATTCTCTCATATTTATAAGAAATGTTCAAACATGCTGCATATCAATAATGAAATATATAATGTTCCCATGTTCTCATAAACATTCTCTCATATTTATAAGAAATGTTCAAACATGCTGCATATCAATAATGAAATATATAATGTTCCCATGTTCTCATAAACATTCTCTCATATTTATAAGAAATGTTCAAACATGATCTTGCATAAAACATGTTTTTATATTTACAAGAAATTATATCAAAATATTAAAAAGCCATGTTCTCAAAATATTAAATATATAAAAAAAATGCTCCTAGGTAAACACACTTTAGAATATAATAATATATAAAATTGGCAGGTATCGTCTTACGATGTCTATTATAAACTTCAAATTTGTCAAAATGTTTTATAAAATATATGAATGGGTTTTGAGAGAGTCTCGGGTATTCAAAGGATGGTTAAATACTCATTCATTCATTCATTCATTCATATTTTTTATTCATTCATAATTTTGTTTTACTATAGTTTTTGCGTATAAGATTGATAGTTTTTTTTGCTTCGGCATTAACTATGTGGACGCTCTGAATTGCATAGCTGTATCAGGTGTTCGCTTTAACCTGGCAACTCTTTTAGAAGCACCTAACAGCAAGCATAGACGTTTATTTTGACTTATTATGTAAGACAACTTCGATTAGAATAACTTGCAGACCTAACTGGAATTCCAACCTGCAACTCGTCAAAGTTCTAGCAGACGCCTGGCTTTAATCAATTGGTGTTCGTTGTTGTTCAAATTCAAACACCTTGGTGGGCTTGCTGTTTTCTTGAAATCTAAAAATTTCCCTTATAGCACACTTTTGAGCCATACTTGTCTTCTTGAGAATATAAATTGCAAAGTAATGTTTCGTTTTTTTTTTGCCAATATCAGTAGTCGAATCGTAAGACTTTAAACTACATTTTATTCAATTCTGAAATGCACAGAATTTCCCTCATTGTACAGTGCATATTTTTATAAGAACTATCAGGAGATCTACAGAAATGACTTGTGAAAATGAATGAAAATAAGAAATTTTAAACCGTAGATCATAACTATAGAGTTATACATAATATAACACCATGGGCGCCACTGTCTACATATTGAGAGAAATGTTAGTGGTCTGTGTCCAAATTTCAAAATCAGAAGTCGTCTGCGAACAATCATCGTATGTCACTCATTATCCTTATTGTCTGGTGTTACAAAAAGCATAAACAAGATCGGTAGATAAGAAATCTAATGACCGTTTGATTAAGTAACGTAGTAGGAATTGTGGTCTGTATCAAAAATTGAAAGATCGTCTGCTTCTCGTCTGCGAAGTGTCAAGCAGACGTTAATTTAATCAAATCCCGCCAATTTCCTAACTTCGTTTATTTTCTAAATAACCAGAGTAAAAATATCAACTTTATTAAAAGCTGGTGATAGGGTCGACGGTGAGTGCGGAATTTCATGGCTTCGGCTTCATTCGGCATCTTGTTAGTTCTGTGAAAGTGGAAGAAAAATTCAATATTTTGGCTTTGAAAATTATATCAACCAAAATTTGAAATTCCTCTGGAAAAATGAAATAATTGAGTAAATAAGTTTGAAGATGCACAACATAGGCGTATACCGAAATAACTTGCCTTGTGGAATCTCTAAGTTGAAAAGCCTAGTCGCAGAGTGGAACCGGGAGAAATGAGCATTATTTTTTGCTGATTGTAATGGACAACTCTCTCAAAATTGTTTCAGGTAAATTCCACATTCAAGATGACATTTTTTCGAAAATATCTCCCTACTCATGGAATGGCGAATTGATTTTCATGTATATAGGTCTTAAATTTCTTCAAGCTATTTTTGATTTTTCTGAGATTTCTTTTGATTTTTGTATAGTCATAAATGAAAAAGAATATTTAAAAAAACGAATCGAAATATCGAGGAATACTTTTTTGATTATTTTTTCAAACAATGGCGACCATATTAATGATTAAAACAAGAACAAGGCATTTAGTACTTTGAAGTAACTAACTTTTTCTTTGATGGTACCGTCGTGTCTAGATTGGAATTAAATTACATCTACTCCTTACAATTGAATTGTGCTGGTCCTTTCTCCTATTGGACACAAACTTTCAGGTTTTGTTGAAATTGTGACGGTTCAAAAAATTCCAATTTATTGCATTGTATTTAAAGGGGTAGTAAAGAGGTTTTCTAAACTTTTTAAGTATAAAGGAAAAACATCAATTTATACCATTTCAATTTCAATTTTCTCTGAGATAACTTGTCATGCCTGTCTACTACAGTTCTTAAGACGTAAAACTCCATTCTTTAGTACAACCTGTCTGAACCTGAGACCTGTGTTAACCTACGCCCTATCAAGCTATAAGATTTGTCCCATTTGAAGACGTAAAATTCCATTTTCATTCCAAGTTCTATTATATATTCTCTGTGCATATCAAGCCGTGGATTTGTCTCGACCCGAATATACACTACATGCTATGAAGCTGACAGATTTGAGTAAATAGAAAAATAAATACATGAAGTGCATGTGATTAATGGTTTTATCAGCTTGCAGTTTGATATCCTACTGTGTACTATCCTACTCTATTGACATATTCTATATAACGAACTGCGTCTTATACCTTGACTTTATCACGCACTATTCTTATATTGCGGACGTTTTTAAATAGAGCGATTTTAATGGATTGAACGCTAGAGCATATGTAAATACATTTTCACAAAGGCAAGCTACTACGAACTGCGTCTAATACCTTGACTGCAATAGCTACTTTTCATGGAATGCGACGGTTGGATTGGATTAAACGCTACCCGATACAGCCAACCAGAGCCCTCGACAGACAGTACATTTCTCTGTGTGTAATTGAGGGCTATAACTGCGTTTCCACTGACAATTGTGAAAGAAAGCTAGCTCTAAGCACTTCACTGAGTAAACGAAAGCCGGCTTTCATTTGGCCCCCGATAAATTGCCGAACGAGAAAAGCTTCAATTGCCGAACCGTAACGGTTCCCGAACGCTAACGGTTCGGCAATTTGTCAGTGGAAACACAAAAAAGCCGGCTCTTATGTCAGTGGAAACACAGTTTATAATTCACTGTATTCGGTAGCGTACAATCCAATCAAATCGTTGCATCTACAAGCTGACGTGATACAAAAAGGCTGCTATTGCAGTCAAGATATGAGACGTGTTTGAGGTCCACAATTTCATTAGGTCAATAGGGTACAGAACAGTAGGATATAAAATTCCATTTTATTTCATTAGTCCAATAAGATACAGAACAGTAGGATATAAAACTCTATTTCATTTCATTAGACCAATAAGATACAGAACAGTAGGATATAAAACTCTATTTCATTTCATTAGTCCAATAAGGTACAGAACAGTAGGATATAAAATTCCATTTCATTTCATTAGTCCAATAAGATACAGAACAGTAGGATATAAAATTCCATTTCATTTCATTAGTCCAATAAGATACAGAACAGTAGGATATAAACAAATTTCATTTAATTCACTTCAATCGTAGAGATTTTCCCTTAACTTTGACTACTTAAGCTGTTGCCTGTTACAAAACGCATTATAAATCAACCGTGGTAATATTTTCATAACATTTAGCAATAAAATCATATAGCATGCAGTATATGTGAATAATACCTTGATGTACAAACAATTACATTAATATTATTCAAAGTTTACAATAATAAAATATTTTCACTGTTAAAATAGTGCTCAATACATCAATTGTAGAGCGATATAGAAATACCATTGTTAAAATAGAGCTCAATATATCAATTTTAGAACGATATAGAAATACCACTGTTAAAATAGAGCTCAATACATCACTTGTAGAGCGATATAGAAATACCACTGTTAAAATAGTGCTCAATATATCAATTGTAGAGCGATATAGAAATACCACTGTTAAAATAGTGCTCAATACATCACTTGTAGAGCGATATAGAAATACCACTGTTAAAATAGTGCTCAATATATCAATTGTAGAGCGATATAGAAATACCACTGTTAAAATAGTGCTCAATACATCAATTGTAGAGAGATATAGAAATACCACTGTTAAAATAGTGCTCAGTACATCAATTGTAGAGCGATATAGAAATACCACTGTTAAAAAAGAGCTCAATATATCAATTGTAGAGCGATATAGAAATACCACTGTTAAAATAGAACTCAATACATCAATTGTAGAGCGATATAGAAATACCACTGTTAAAATAGAACTCAATACATCAATTGTAGAGCGATATAGAAATACCACTGTTAAAATAGTGCTCAATACAACAATTGTAGAGCGATATAGAAATACCACTGTTAAAATAGTTCTCAATATATCATTTGTAGAGCGATATAGAAATATTAAAACAAAACTTGAATCATGTTGTTACTCAGAGTTTCACGCTATGCGATCTTCAGACAACTGTTCAAAGACCAAACAGAGTCTTCCAAGCTCATTTCATCTATTATATTTTTCAGAGACCGGGATTAGAAGTGCCGTTAGAAGACTCAGCATGGATCTGTGCTGGGTGCGGAGGTCGAATCTGCGACAGATTTTACTTGATGGCGGTGGACAAACAATGGCACGTGCAGTGTTTAAAATGTTCCGACTGTAAACTGCCACTAGATTCCGAACTCACGTGCTTTGCTCGAGATGGGTGTATATACTGCAAGGATGACTACTATAGGTAAGTTAATTTTTATCCTTGGGCCACCCTGTTGAGTTATCGCGAACTGCGTCTTATACCTTGACTGCAATAGCCACTCTTGTATCACGGAAAGCTGCATTTACAAACCTTCATGATACAAGTTAATTAAACAAGGTATAAGATGCAGTTCGTAATAGCTTGATAATTGTGAAGATTTAGTGATGGAAGGCAAACTATAATATGTGCATCCTGATTCCAGTTTAAGTCAGTTAACATTTCAGGCATGTTTATAGAATTATAAGAGAAAAACACCAAAACGTTGCACAAACTTTAACCAATGATTGTTAAATACAACTTCGTCTATATATCATACTTCAAATTGTTAAATGTCATATGAAGACTGGTTTGTAATTCTGGTCTGGATATACGAGGCTCCTTTATTATATCTAATTTTACATGGTCGATGTTATCTCACACGAAATGCACGTGCGTGTATACCTTTGTAGATAATGAAGTGATTGATATTTAACATTGTTTATCCTAAAATCAATCACAAGTTTTTGCAGTTCAATAACGAGAAACATGGTGACTTTGAATATTAATTTCTTCTCTTATCTCACACGAAATGCACATGTGTGCATGCAGACAAAAATAATTCGCTATCCCATTGAGTAACCACACGAAAACATGTTTGTTTTGAAATAACACTTCAACCAATACGCGAAAATCAAAATTTCTAATGCATCCATGTAGAAAAAGGAATAACATTTTGTTAACGTCGTCGTACGTGCATTCAGAAAGATTTTAAAAGGCAATGATGATATGATAGATAGATGAAATACACGTGCATTTGATAGATTGGGGGTAGATAACATGGTGTAATGAAATTATGTTTGAAAATTCACATAGATATATCAAATGTTTGCTTTGATATCCATGTGCACAGTATGCTCGTGCAATGCATACAAAATGCACACGTTAAAACCAAACAAAGTGTTTCATGTTGTATATCAACAAAGACAGATGCACGTGTGTGCGTTTTGTTATGCGTTTTCATTAACACATTTCTCTCTCTATATATATATAAACGTAACATTTGCTGAATAATATTTGAAATGTACGGATGAATGCTCGAGTGCGTATGAGAACAAATACACGCACATACATTTATCATAAAAAAAAAATTCAATAAATTTCATTAATTTCAAATTTTCAATTTGTATTGAACAAATTTGATACAGTGACCTCGTGGAAAAGTAGAAGTGTCAATTTTAATGGAAAACGTTAGCCTTGTTTGAAAATGTGTTAAAAGCATGGATGAATGCACGAGTGCTCAAGATATCGAATAAATGCAAATGAATCCAGTTTTGAATAAATTAAATGTATGCCATATAAATAAATATCAGAATTAATTGAAGATTGTAAAAAATATATAAAACTTGTAGAATTCTTTGATTGTACAAAATATACAGAAAAATATTATATATCGAAAACAGAATGAATGAATGAATGAATGAATGAATGAATGAATGAAATTAATTTAACTGATTCCAAAATATCAAGGAAATGTAAAAATTATTTGTTAAGTATCTCGATAAAAAGAAAAGAAGTGAAAAAATATTTGAATGAATGAATGATTTACAAATTAATCAAGACAAATCATCAAAGAAGTGAAAAAATCAATTTTCCCAGTAAAATGAAATGTTTTGAAGAATTAAGAACACAAGAAAGAAGGTTTAGAAATCTGATAGTAGAAGAAATCAGAAATAATCAAACCTAATTATTTATTTATAACCTAATACTCCGTACTACGCATTGATTTCCTAAACCTTCGATTTTTTGGCTGACCTGGCAAAGCGTCTTGCCGTTCGGATTGGACAATAAACCGAGGCCCTCTGTCAGTAGTGATCGGACGTGAAAAAGCGTCTAGTCGTTCGGATGATGATCAAACATCATTTATTTACAACCTAATACTCCGTACTCCGCATTGATTTCCTAAACCTTCGATTTTTAATTTTCGATTTTTCAATACAGATAACGGTTAAGGTGTAAATCTTTGAAATAAATGGGAGTTTTACATCCTAATGTTCTAGGCCTAATTGGAAATTACGACGAAATCGAGTTTTAAAACCAACTTTATTATATTATTAGGCTAATGTTTTGTACCTTATTTTAAAGAAATTCGTTTTCCAAAAAACCTTTCCATGTGCTCCCTTGGTATTTGGGGTGTCTTCTCCAGAATTTTAAACCAATGCACCCTTCGATACTTCATCTCAAGCGTGTTCACTATTCTCTTAACACATTGGTTCAGAAATGTACCCTTCGATTCTTTCGCCTATGTGTATTCACCGTTTCAAAATAGAAATTTTAATTACATCAAACCCCCATTCTTCTTTCGTTTTCTTTTTTGATTTCGTATTTACACAGTGGTAAGAAAGCACAAAAGAATAACGCATGACCAGAATAGTGGGAATCTTGACAAAGAAGAGAGCACAAAAGAGTTAGTTTTTGTAGCTTTAATTATTCATAAGCGATAATGAAACAAAACAAGTTTTCTGATAGCTTATGCTGCTGATTTTACCGTACGAAGTCTAAAAAAAACTCTGAAATAATTAAATTCCGTTAATCGATGATGCGGATTGCATTTACCGTAGTTTTTCTTAAAAGGCAAAATAAAAACGTGTTAGGTGTCCGTGTTTTCATCGTTATCTAGAGTAAGATTCGATCCTACATTTAAGGTACCGAAGCTCCGTTTGCTACAGACTGAAAAGTTAAAGATTGGCAGGAAGAAATCGGAAATTGCTATTATCCTGGCAAAAAATTTCCCTCATTGAACACTGCATAGCGCTTTCCGTCTTTGTTTGTCCGATATGTGTTGACCAGCACTAAAGCATCTACATATTTTAGACATTCATCATCGGGAACAGAAAGGTTTTGCCAGGACGCTTGGCTCATCCGTGATTTTCTTCGGCAGCTTCCAAAATCGGATGTTTATTATGTTATATACGGTAAAAATGGTGTCATTAAAACAATAAGTTCAGTTATCTCCACATCTCTAAACATTTATCATTAAATTTCATTTACATCCAGTTTTCTTTTTGAATATTTTATAAACTTATTGAAGATTTCAATGAAATTTATCGATCACAAAATATTGGAAAGATAAATCTAGGGCTTAGTCCGTATTTCTTCTCAAGTCTCTACCAAGTTCTTCAATTTAGAAGCGACGTCGAACCGCATCACGGAAGCATTGGTAGTGGCAGCATAAACCATCGTTGTTTTGAGGTGGGTTCTGTCGACCCTGTCCCCCAGTCAGTGATGCAGATAAGAGGGACTGACATGTTAAAAGTGTGTAGTCGTTCAGATCGGACAATAAACCGAGGCACCTTGTGCTACAAACGTTAAAGATCCCTCGACAGCCGAGCAAAATGTTTAAGTATCAAAAATTCGTATGAGAATTTTGATTAAAAGTTTACAAAGTTCATTTAAAAACACGATACAAAACTATTATCAAAATAAACCAAACTTGTTAATTCTTCCTCGCTCGGCCATATTTCTAGCGCGTTAAACTTCTTTCAAGTCGGCCTGAGTCTAAATTTTGATCTGTTGGTGGCTGTGGTTTACAAGATCGAAAAATAAACTGACATTTCCAGTCAAAATATTGACACTGTCACCGGATATGGCAACACACAAATTCTGGAATATCTGAGATTTGCTGATGGGAATTTAAAATAGTTTCGTTTTGTGTTTAGAACATGTACGTTTTTTAATGAACTGCTAAATGTCTTTAATTTAAAAGAAACAAGTATCTTTTAAACTAATTTGGCTTTGTAATATCTTACTTATATTTCTAAAAAACTTTTTTAAGATGTTCGAGAATAGTTTCGTTTTCTGTTAAAAAAAACCTGTTTAATGAACAGGGTAAATTATTTTATAGAAACCATTTGAAAAACCTTTTAGCTAAAAGAACTTTGTGTTCCTTTACAATTTGGATATTAATTTTTGTTCTTTTTTAAAAATTACAAATATAAATTTGTACGCAACCTTTAACTTCTCACGGATTTCTTTCCCAAATCTTAGCTTCCGTTAGCGTCGTCCGGCTTCCTGTTGCCATGTTACAGGGCAGTTTGATATGAATAAGTCAAGAGCAGACGATCCCATCTCTTTCCCGCCCTCGTCTAATCTATCATCGCCATGTTTAACGGTTCCGATTACATTCCAAACCCATTTCCTTATCACACTGTACCACAAAACGAAACTTTATCGTGTTAAAAAAATATTCTGAATAATATTTTGTTTTTGGATAAAAAATAATAATACTCATTTGACCTGTTTGAATAATTTCGTTTTCTGTTCAATAATATCAAAATTCTCTGCCTTTCATTTGCTGATGGTTTCCACGAGGACTGTAATCCCTTTTAACATGGTCGTTTTCATGAAAATTTTGAATAATTTTTCGTAACGTATATTCGTTTTCTATTTCAGACGTTTTGGAGTGAAAAGATGTGCACGGTGCCACCTTGGAATCGCTGCTAATGAACTTGTTATGAGAGCCCGAGACGTAGTGTATCATTTGTCCTGCTTCACGTGCAATGCGTGTAACCGACCTCTGACGACGGGCGAACAATTCGGAATGAAGGACCATCTAGTGTATTGTCGTACGGACTATGAAATGATGTTTCAAGGAGACTATATACCGAGCATGTCTCCCGGACTAGGCGGTCATCATCAGGGGCTACCCTACTATAACGGAGTCGGTGCCGTACAAAAAGGACGACCAAGGAAACGAAAAAGTCCGTGTCCAGAATTAGAACATTGTCCAATGGGTAAGTAGTTTATTTTGTCATCATCATCATCATCATCATCATCACCATCATCATCAATTTTACATTCCATCTTCAATATTATCATCATCATCATCATCATCATCATCATCATCATTCTAAGACTATCAATCTACACCACATAACATTTGCTGATGAATAATTATTGCAATGGTTCACCTCTTTACTGGAATGCACCGCCATATAGAAAACTAAACCGCAAACAACAACATTACATTCCAATACATTTTTAGAGTCATCTCGTGTTAAAAGTGGATAGGTTAATTTTTAGAATATGTCCAATATTTATGAAGCAATAGATAGTCAGGGCTAATTTTGGCCCATAAAGCTCATGTTTTGAATTTTAGGACCGAAGTTTTCAAGCAAAGATCATCGTCTCGTCGACCTCTTATGGGTCACACAAGAGCCCCTCATGCTGGGCATTATGTCTCCATGGCCCAAGGATATGTATAATGATAATAAGCAAATACCAGAGAGCAAACCGAAAAATAAATACTATTTTCACACCTTGTTGGCTGTTCACAGTCCGCAAACAATGAGTTCTTTACAATATAGGTTTAGTCTATTCTTGTTATTAAAATTTGATACATCGAAAGCAAATTTCAATACAATGTCCACTTGTTCGTGAAATTGTCGAGGTTTGGTCTCCAGAACAATGCTTGTTTACATACTATAAAACGAGGTGTGCCGAATACAAAAAACGGCCCCAAAACACCCTCGACGTACCGAGTGGGGTATTTTGATCAGGACCGTTACAATGGCGGTTGACTTCCCACGTTTAAGAAAAGAATCGTCAAGTTTCTTTCATCGGAATCGAATGACTCTATTTAAACAACTTGAGATTTGAAAATAAACAACGGTCACCTTTTGAAAATAAACTTTGCCTTTTTACAACTGTCCGTTACTATGGGGGGTCCAGCTCGCGTCGTCTGCGTTTAATCTGAATTCCCGCCGTTTTTCCCAAGGCAAGCAGAAATCAAATATCTATCGGCTGCTATGACGTCGTGTTCGGCAATATTCGTGGTTACATTTCTGATTTGACGTTGTGATCTCGAGCTGGTTCTCGTCTGCGATTTTTTGAATTATTTAATCTGAGATCAAGTTTGACACTAAGCCTTCGAAATCTTTTCCATGTCTGCTTCGAAAATTGGCCAGGACGTGACAAGATTGTAACCCTGGGAATTTTGAAGTTTTCGTAAGAAATCTGGTTAGTTTTACCGAAACTTATTGACATTTTGTGTAGATTTACTTTTGCTAAGGCGAGATGCATTTCGGACAGACATTATCTTTTTGTTTAATATTTTTCTTATCAAAAAATCAAGGACCACATAAAAAGCAAAATCAAGAAGATTGAGACTTTAACCGTGTAGGCGAAATCAATAAATTATTTTGCTGAAATGTGAGCAAGCGACTAAAATTGATTAATCCCATATTGTATAGGCTGTATCAGATAGCCATTAAACTGTATATCTATACACATAGTTAGTCATATCATCCCAACAAACTAGCTTCGTTAATCATATAATACATCCATCACTAATCATCCCAGGCCATATTCAGTTCCGTACAAATTCATGGCTTTGTTTTACTTCTGTGTAAGACGAAACGAAATGACATTTTGGAAATTAATATGTAATGCTTTTTATTTGAATTTATTTTATATTACTTTGAAATTTAATTATTTATTCATTTGAATAATTGTATTTATTATTTCCGTACAAATTTGTGATTTTATGGAACGCGAAACGAAAAAGATTGCTGAAGTATTATGAATACCAATTTTAATTGTTTAATTCATTCATTTATTTTCATTGATTCGTTCATCTATTTATAAATTAGAGATATTGAATCAGAAACTGAAACATGTTGTTATTCACAGTTTCACGCTGTGCTATCTACAGACAGATCGCTCTACTTTTTGAATTGAGCCATATTTTAACAGTGGAAATATTTTGTTATTGTATTTATGAATTATGCATGGTCTATCCGTTTTATACTTGAAACAAAATTTCTCTGCGTCTTGACACCTGATACCACTTTTCATCATGAAATACTTACTCACTTATGAGTGATATACTTCATCACGTGAAAAGCTCATTAGCTGCTACCAATGTTTCGATTGACACTCTACGATTGAGCTTCTCAGCCCAGCACCAAAATATACCCGCGTCCCATTGAATTTATCTTACAATTTGCTTTAAGTTTATACTTTTAAAATTCAAACTGTAATCAAATATTCAAAGGATGGTACAAATTCCGATGACAATCCGTAATGGATTACCACAAATCTGAGAAGGGTATTTACGTCAAAGTGGGCGGTCAAATCCGTAATTTTGATCTTTGACGATGAGCTAATAAGAGGCAACGTACAATTTTGACACACGTTTTGAAAAATTGGAATATCTTATTCTCACGTTAATGACAGACGAAACGAAACATTGACATACGCTTGAAAGAAATGGAGGATACCCAAACGTGTAATTTAAGACAACATTGGAATTTAGGTTCATAAGATCGGAATAGTTTTTTGTGTTTTTTGCATTAGAAATAAATACATACTATTGTTAACGCTTTGAACGCCACCCAAGATGCCGAGTTGCTTGAATAGGATAAAATCCTCGTTTATTTTTCTGTCAAGGCAGATTAAAGGCCCCTGTGCTAATTTAGGTGTTTAGGAGAACCCCGCCCCACCCCCTTTCTTTAAAGTCTTATGATATGTCTATTGGGTATTTGAAAGTAGATATGTTTAAGGATTCTAATTTATTTCTTTCTCTTTTTAAAGACGGTTGATTTTTGTGTATTTTTGTACAATGGTATTCAAAGGGTTAATTTAATAAGAGGTTATTAGGAAAGGTGTCGAAAAGTTAACCCTTTCAAGCCCCACACTCAGTTTTTTACCTCCCAATGCGACCTTAACGGGGTTGTTTTTTTGTCCCGTGGACGTTCATAGATTAAGTTTGAATGCGGGGCTAATTCCAGGCATCTGTTTATTTTTACTAATTGAGGTTAACCTTGAGTGCATTTACAAAAATTGAAAAACAGAAAAAGCGGATCCTCTATTTCAAATTTGAAAAATTGTAAAAAAAAAAATTCCTTTTTAGGGGGTTGTATTATATTCACGCTTAAATGAGCTAAAGAAAGGAAACAAAATTATGTATTATGTCCTATGTTTTTCGAAATTTGCCCCTCTGTCAATGTTTTTTTTTTTGAATTATTTACGAGTTCAAAAATTGAAACCTTATCCAATTAAAGTTTTCCACCCTGTCGAAATCGTACAAATTACTTTTGGAATAAGAAACAGTTCCCACGAAAAGAGCAATGTATAATTTTTAGTTTTGAGTCATTTTTTTGCAAAAAGAGCAAAATGAAGTCATCAAATGGTTGTTAGAAGTCGAGTCGAATTTGGAGCTTTGTGAAACGAGGCGATAGAAAACCTCACCTGAATTACGCAGTAATATGACAATTATAGGGACTCGACTCCCCAATTCCCCCTATTAATGTGATGTTTATTATTGAGACGGCAATTACCTGATCATTCCTCCGTCATTAAATGTCTGAGAGGAGACTGGCCCATTGTTACCCTCTTTACCCTACAATAATGTTATCATCAAATCAGCAGTCGTTATCAATGAATCAGACGTGTTGCTCACCTAGCGAAAATTAGGCGCGAAAATGAATAGTTTGCAAGCCGCCGAATAATTTCACTTTTGGTCGGACTTTTATAGTCGCGAACAATGAGACACTATTATAATGCATTCTTCGCAATCAATTTCATCTCTGTTATTCAAGGCTAAAATAAAATCTCCGCCATATTTGATTTTGACTGCGGGACGTCTTCTCGTTGTTTCTCTTCACGTCTGCTAATCCATGACGTCATGTAGCGAAATGACAATGTATCGATATCATCGCGAGATTTCGAAATGTGATCAAACTGCAACTTGCGATCAGTTTACAACGGAAGCTGTTTACGAGCAGATGTTTTTTAAACCTCACAAAACATTCGTCATTTTCTTTGTACCATTCGAGGACATCTGACCAGTTAATATATCTTGTGATTTTGAAAAGTAGCTATTGTCACGGTCTAGGCAAAATTTCCCTTATTGTACACTGATTAAGGTTTCATTTATTTTCTTTTTCAATTCGCAGTACATCAACCAATCTCAAATGCTACTAGGCCGATCCTAGCATTTGGCTCGACGTTTTTGTTCACTGATCGTTTTAAATGGCAACCACGATAGTAATATTGTTTCAGGGCCCTGCGTCACTCCTTGATCACTTAAATAACGAATAGAATAATTCCATATATCCTTAGGATCGGTTTAATATAGCATCAAACACCTGCGGGCTACAGACCGATTTAGAATATTAAATTCTTTAAACGGATTTATAACTGAAAAAGGAAGCTACAAAAGTGAAATGAACTTTTAAGTGTGTAAATACATTGTAAACAAAAAATAGAAAATCCTACGAACATTCTTATTTTTTCCCTGCGATTTGAAACATTTTGGAAAATTGTCCTTGTGATTTGAATAATGATTTTGAATAATGATTTGAATAATGATTTTGAATAATGATTTTTATAATGATTTTGAATAATGATTTTATAATGATTTCAATAATGATTTTTACAAATTTGCTCAGTTGAATAATGATATTAAAACTAAGAGTTTGAGAGGCGAATATCGAACTGTAAGTAATCCTATTGATTTGAAAACGGAAAGTAAAACTTTATGTAAATTTTCTCCTTATGATTTGAAAACCGGAAGTAAAATTTAATGTAAATTTTCTCCTTGTTATTGACCACAATCTTTAATAAAACAAAAGAATATTGGTGTTATGTCTACTCGAGAAGGGAATATAAAGACTAGTATAGAGAAATAAACTGAAAGTAAACTCTCAGCTTGGAGATGAAAGAAAAGCAGTTGTTACTATAAATAGAACAGACTAATTAGCGAATGTAACCAGCTGTACTCGGCATAGAT